TAAGTTTGTCCACAGCGGACCCACTTCTCAGGACCTTCTCTTTGCCATTCTAATCCCAATTGCCGTCGTCTCTCACTGGGCTTATTGTAGTATTTTCCTGACCAGCTCCCGCGGCCCCCTTGCTGTTTTCCGCATTAAGTCTGTCCCAAATGTAGCGGCCAGAGGGGTCCTGCTGTGGCCTGAGGTTATGTCCCTGCCCTGTCCACCAGCTGTCGGTGGCTGCTGATCCCACTCTGGAGAAGCCAGTGGGATGCGGGGGCCTGTGACGTGAGCCCCCCATGGCTTCTCCCGTCTCACCTTGTCTCGCCACTCCACACGTCACTCAGTCTTCTCGAGTCACACCGGCCTCTCCCTGTCCTCTCCGCCTGGCACACCCTTCCCTGGATATGCTCAGAGCTGTTCCCACCCCCCTTTCATGTGCCCTTAAACTGCACTGTTTATGGAGCGTTCTCTTAGTTGTCTTTCCAGCACTACTCCTTACGCCTTTTCTCCGAGCGCTGCCGCCCTGATGTGCTGTATTTACTCATTTATGTCATTGCGTGTTCTCTCTCCCTGCTCGAGCGTACATCCCACGAGGGCAGAGATTTTGTCTGTTCTGTTATGGCCCTGCTATGCCGGGGGGCTTAGAGCAGCCCCTCACACATGCTGCTGCTCGGGAGATGTTTGTTGCGGGAATGAATGAATGAATCTTAGATCCCAGCATCTCCTTGGCTTTGAGACAGGATAACTCCAGTGCTGGAGAAATTTGTCCTCAGTGGGTTACAAAGCATGGAAGGGACCACTCGGTGGCACCTGGGCTTGAAGTGAAGTAGATTTCCTGGAGTGTGGCATTTTGATGATAAGCTTTGCAGCCTTGGTGTCTGAAGGTCATATGTATATAAGGGAATTATCCACGTCTTTCTAACTTACAGTCTTAAAGGTGGGGGATGGAAGTGTGACACTGTGTGGGAAAACATGGAAAGAATATTTTTAACATAGAAAAATGCAATTGGTGAATTGTGTGTAATGTAGAGGATTTTAGGATTCCGTGAGCATAAATAGGAGATCTAGAAGAAACCTGGAGTGAAATATGTTTAGTTTAGGTTGGAGGCGTTGGAGGCTTTTAACTTGTGTGGCTCTATTTTTGAAATCCAGATAAAAGTTACATGCTCACCCTAGAAAATGTAAATGTACTGGGAAACCTTGTGAATATTTCCGGGTGTGCATGCGCCCTTGAGGGCACCGCAGGTGGGTCGACGGGCTCCCGGGCAAGCCTTTCAGAGCAGGTGCGATAGGTCCCTAAGTGGCAAATGTTGAGCAATAGCCTGATAGAAGGTTTTGTTGAGAGTGGAAAATGTTTATGTTCATATGTAAGTAGTGGAAAATACACCATAGCATTCCAAAGGACAATGAATGTGTTATCAACACACACTGATAACTATAAACTTTCAAGTTATTTGTAAAATAGATTTCTCAGCATATGGAGGGGTTGCAGGTGCCACAGAACGGATGGTGCTGGTGAGGAAATGACACCGAGGACAGGACGGTCCAGTCCTGTGGCTCCAGAGGAACAACGTGGCCAGAGTCATCAAGCGCACAAAGTGGCCGGCGGAGAAGGAATCTGAGGAAGCAGGCAAATCCAGCTTCCCACCCTTTTCACCGCATCCCTGTGACATGCTCACCATGTGACCTCGTCAGGGATTGGAAACAGGAGTTCATGAAAGTTACCAGAGATTTCTTCCTCTTGTTGGTCCTGATTTGGTATTTGGCGATGCGTGAAGTTTCCCTTGTTTCCTTGAGCACCTTCAGATGTTTAGTCGGCAGAATTTCCCCACTATTTTCTGTAACGCTTCAGTCTCCGAGCCTGTTCTCACAGGCCGTGTTTCCAGGTTTGCTGTCACCCTCACTGTTGCCTCGTGGACAGGACACGGTCGTTCTTGAAATGCGGTGCCTAAGCCCACGTGACGGGTTTTGTTCATGAGGTCTGTCCGCGTCAGCACTTCGGGGCGTCTCGGCAGTACCCACGGCAGCTAACGCGGACTGACCACTCACAGTACCCAGGCCAGGCGCTAAGCGCTGCACGTGCACTTTTACCTTTTATCTCCATAACAACCCCGCGAGCCTCACTTTACAGGTGAGGAGAATGGAGCCTGGAAAACGTCAGTGGCCCATTGGAAGACACGCCCCGTGTCTCAGTAGTCGTGGGAGGTGGAATCCTACCTCCGCTTTGCCAGCCATTGGTGCCGGGGCCGTGAGCCCCGCACTCCTCTGTTTGCGCGCCACGTCCCGCTGCGGGGCCCACGAGGCCGCTGTCGGTGAGCTGCCGGCAGACGTCCCCACCCGCTGCCTTTAAGTCAGATGCTTTCAGTCGGGCGTAGACTGGTGTTTGCATTTATCTTCAGGTCGTTGAGATGAGAGGTTTTTCTCTCATCCGTGTAACTGATTTTTCATAACACAGTTCTCGTAGCCTCAGCCCCTGACAAGGCGCCTGCAGAGGGCTCGCAGAGAGTCTTGCCCAGTCGGTAACGATCTGCTCAGCAGCGGTTTTGGTGATGGTTAGCAGTCCCGCCGTCTGAGGGTCCTATTGAGAGATGCAGGGAGAGAGTATTCAAGTTTCCCTGAGGACTTCTTTTCCAGTGAAGATTTGATCCCTTTGTTTTCTTGAGAGACAGTCGGTGAAAGAGTGGTCTCATTATTAGGCGACAAGTTTAGAGAAGGTGAACCCCAAATCATAGTTTGTTCTTTTTTTCATTGGCCTTGATGTAGACTTTTGAAACTAGATACTGCCTATCTTATATAATTCTCTTCCTATCACTTCAGCGTAACAATTACTAACATTTCTAAGATATAATCAACAAAGGCCTTTTAAATTCTATATTTTGCCATGTATTAACGCACACTTTTTTGCTCAAATTTTTGAGGGAAAAATAAGGATGCACATTATACATGGGGAGTACCTGAAATACCTTGTATCTGTTCTTGTGTTTTGTGATTGTTACATAAAGTTTGTATACCAGAGTGTATTAAAAAATAAATGCTAAAATTTCTTTTAAATACAAAAACCAAGTATCTAAATATACATAAATAAAAAATTGAATTAAAAAGAAAGATTTTTTCCTGAAAGTTTGGGCCAGAAACATGGGTGTGCGTTACACACAGCACACTGCGGTGTCTCATTAACCGCCCCCCATGTGACATAGGGGGCACCTGCCTTGTGTTCCCATGGCGGTGAAGGAGCTGCCACTGATGGCACGGCCGCAGAGGGGCTCGTCCTGCGGCCCTGCGTTCCTGCAGCCTGCCCGCTCCGCTCACCGCCCCTGGGGGAGGGTGATGGAGGCGCCTGCTGAGCCACAGCGGTGAGGGGTAGAAGACACAGGCTGGATTTGGGGGGTTCATAACGTAGCCGAGAGTTCAGGGTTGAGTCCAGTGAATTTGACGGTATCCATAAAGAGTTAAAAAACAAGGTGCCCAGATGTAATGAAGAAAAATTTTTTGGCACAAGTGAAATTATTTAAAATTATTATTATAATATAACCTTAAATAATTTTGGTTATAAAAGTTATTTGGTTACAAAAATTAAAGAGTAACAATAAATCTAATAATAAATAATAATTCCTAAAATTAATAATAATTCTTACAGATTTCGGTTTTTGACATTGAAGAAGCTGTTGGCAACATTAACAGAAGTATTTCTTTGAAAAAAAAATAGTGGCGTTAAGGAAGTGTAAGTCACTGACTTAGTCGCACTTGAGCCATTGATAAAGATTCTTTTAAGTAGAGGTTTTCACTGAGGAAATTGTAAAATACAGATGCATTTGAAGTCCTGATTTACATAGGATAGTTTTGTACCGTCAGACACCAGTTTTCAAGCATTACACTTGAGCTTCAAACATCACATACATGTACTTTCTAGAGCAGCGATTTTTAAGCCGTGCGCTGCAAGAATCTTTAGAGCAGGAATACCTGCCTATTTAGTCAGGGGCGCTGACCTCTCTTCCCTTGGACTGTCAGATAAAACAATGACACCAGGTAATACAATAGACATTCAGTGTGAACAAATCAAAATTATTCCTATTTTTTTGTCAGGTTGACAAAAAATACACTTTTGGTGCTCTGTAGAATGATAGGAATTGGTGTATGTGTGTTGGGAGGTGGAAGAAGGCGGAACATCCCTGTGCTGGATGAGCAAGCTCAGAACCATCCGAGTTGTGCTGGGGGAGAGGGGTTAAATGGGGTCCCTGTGCTTTCTCCTTCGGGTAGAGGGAAGCTAGAAACATGGTTACTCTTTCTTTTAAATGGACTAATATTCCTATCCATTTCTAGTTTTAGATTAACACATCACATTCAGACTTTTTGTTTTGTGAAAATCATTTAAATATGCTAAAGAAATAGGAGAGAAAATGCTCAACTCCTATGCGCAAAAAGTCAAGGTTTAAAAACTAAGTACATTTTCACCAAATATCTAGTGTATCATCTTAGTTCTTTTTCATTATAATAACATTACTACTAGGAAAAAGCATTCTTTTTTTCCCTAAAAATAAAATACATACATATTTACTATCTGATTCCTTAGTTTAATTTCTTGCTTTACTATGAAGAAGATTTAGAATTTGGCTTTCAAAGTTGTTAATGACTATTTTATACATGGAGAATATAATATAGATAAGATTGACCTTTTATGTATATTGTGCAGGAAAAAACTCTGTGTGCACATGCAAAATATTCTGACTTGAATACACATTTTCCCAAATTCATGATTATAGCCCACATGCCCTCTTGAGAAATGTTTACAAACGCCAAATTCTACATAAACGTTTGCCACGTGAATTATAATAATCAGTGCACTTTACACTATATCCATGATATCCATATTGTTTTCATCAGTGCACTTGTGCTCAGGAGCTTTAACTAAGGAAGAAGAAAGGAGAAGAGTACGCTGACTGTGTATATCCGCCCAGCTGGGTTCCAGTCCATCCTAAAGTTCTTGTTGTTCATCATTTCCCACCATCTCTTTCTCGCAGGAGTGTCGTGGTGCCTGTGAAGAAGCCACCTCCCGGGAGCTTGGCCGTCACCACGGTGGGGGCCACGGCGGCCGGGACCGGGCTGCCCACGGGCAGCACGCCCAACATATTTGCTGCAGCTGGAGCTACACCAAAAAGTATGATTAATACCACAGGTATCGTCCTTATATATTTTTGTGATACCCCATCTTTTTCTTTCTGTTTTCTGTATCTTCATTTTTCTACTTATTTGATCTTAAAAATAAGACACCCTGATCATTTAAGGGCATGTTAGTCTGTGAGAAGGGCATACTTTATGTTACTACCTTTCAGAACTCGCCTGTAGCTCCAGGATGTATTTCTTCGTGGTCATTTTAGAGGACACCATTTCATTTTGAGTGTTCTCAAAACAGTGCTATTTACTGTTGGAGTGACATCTGATTGCTGAAAGGTATTCGGGGAGCAACACCAAAGATAATCTGAATCCTGAAGTTTATTACGTAAAAGCTAGTCAATTTTATAAGAATAACAAGGTGTACTAAATGTCAGTGACATTTACTGGTTGAATCCCAATCTGTGTTTTTTTGCTGAACCCTCGGAGGGAAGGCAGAGCTCCCCTAAGAACCTCGATGATGTGCAAGAGCTTCACCTTGATAAAAAGTGCATGTGACTAAGAGCCACGGTCTGACATTGAGTTAATATACATACCTAGATTACAACGGCCTCCAATTCATCGTCTAACATTTTTCTAATGATTCTAGGAACAGAGAATTCCAAATCACTACAAATTTTAAAAGCCTGCCTAAAATAGCCTCTTTTTTGTGTGTGTGTGAATTTCCAGAAATGTTCCTGTTGATTAATAGCTAAATAAATCCTTACCCAAATCTTTGTGATTCCATTTTAGGTATTTATACAACGCAAGATGATCCCTGACTTTTCCTCCCTGACTCTAGTAGCCTTCTCTTCTCCAAACTGTAGAGCCTTGAACTTTTCCATCTATTATCATTACTTAGATTCTTCCCATTTTATTAATTTCATAGCTCTTCTTTGTGCTTTCTGTATCTATCTTGTTTATCATACCACCAGAGAGACATATCATGAACAACACATTTATGGGTTGTAGTAAGTAGAATGTACTCTGATATTTATATGAGCAAATAACATCATTAATGGCATTGTGTTAAAGAATGTATCTTTGATTTACCTATATTATAAATGAATATTTATATCTGGCTTTTCTGAAGACTTTATACAAAATGTTTATATTCAGTTTACAATCTTACTCTTCATTTTGTTTTCTAAAAATAGGAATAAAAAATGATTTTAACCATTCGTACCAAAATATACATGAGAAAAAGTGTTAAGGTTTTTAAAATATGCCAATGTAGTAGGAAAACTTCTGCATTTGGTATTTGTTGAGTGCATCCTTTTTAAAAAATATAGGTAAATGAAAAATTAAATCACTTTTTATATGAAACAAGTTATTTTGTTCTAATTTCTATTTCATGAATTAATAGTAGATAATAAGAATGGATGGTAGCAAGAGGTCTAGTGATAGTATGAAGTATATAATATTATGATGAAAAATAAAATGTAATTAATAACCTTCCTTCTTAGAGGTTTGCGCACACACATTTCTTGGGCCAGCATCTAAAGGGGGCCGTCATCCAGTGTCTGTTCTGGCACATGGATGCTGTGTAGGTTTGGCACGTGGATGCTGTGTAGGTTTGGCACAGGGAGTAGTCCCGTTTTATGGGAGTAATGTAAGATAAGATAATATTTAGGAACACTAGATGTCTCTCAACTCCACAGCACTTTGACGTGCTTACTTAGCTGGTGTATTATAGAAAAGTCTGTTCCAGAATGGCATCTTCAGGTCACTGAGGAGAACTCCTTTGAAGTCAGGTGCAGTTATATTCAGCATAGCCCTTCTGACATGGTCATTTGATCAGAATAAACATCTGAGATTGCTCCAGTGCCACCAATTTGTCCTCAGAGAACTTGGGGTAAATTATATCTTAAGTGAGGGAAACTAAGAATACTATAGCACAGACGTAAAACAGAACAGTTTTTCACATCTAAATTTACATTGTTTTATCAGCCTCATTTTATCAAAAATTGTTTTCATTTGTTGATGTCTTTTATTTATACCCTATTTGTAATATAGTTTTGTTAGATTAATATAAGTAAATCAACCGGCATTTAATGCAGAACATTATCTGTAATTATAAAGTGTTATTAGTGTACTAATAGCGAATGATTTTTTTAATCATTGAAGTATGTTTTAAAATTCAGGTAAATAGTTCTTCAAAATCAGATAGTAATGATGTAATAAAAATGTTATTAAATAAATTCATGTTTAAGGCTCAGTGTCACTCTTTTGGACACAGGTGCCGTGGATTCAGGGTCCTCCTCTTCCTCCTCTTCCAGTTTTGTGAACGGTGCTACCAGTAAAAACCTTCCCGCTGTGCAAACTGTTGCTCCCATGCCCGAAGACTCGGCTGAAAACATGAGGTACGCGTTACAGCCTTCTCGCGTTTACTCTTCTTCCTTCTGCCTCGGAGAGAGGCAGAACGGCACACCCTGGACACGCCGGGGTAGGGAGGGACTCCTGAGAACGGTCCGCGATGAGCTTCGTGACTGCAGTGCGTAACTGCATCGGTTTAATACTTTTGGTGGTTTATTCGTTATACGGAGATCTGTTGTTATATTTCAGAGCCCAGAGATCTTGAATAATTTTCAAACGTTAACTTTGCCAAATTTATAATCCATTGTCATATAGACTGTTACAAAATCCAATAAAATAGAAACATGCACAAATGTTAACATAATAAAATTGGGCATCTTTGGGATGGTAATGAAAAGTTGAAATACAGTCTTTCAAAATAAATTTTCAAATTATATATAACACACATAATGGAACTTGAATAACCAAATACTTTCTTATTGTGATTAAAAGATAAGAATATTTTTTAGTAGCGTATCAAAGAGCATTCCTAGAAGAGACTGGCCACATTCTTGGAGTTAAGTTGCACACACACGTGTGTGCACAGTTTTAATTCAGGTGTCACGCAAGTGCAGAGCGTGAAGGCCCCACGACCGCACTTCTGTTTGCTCCCCCACGTCCGGAAGCAGAACCCCCAGAATCCCCCACAGACTCCTCCTCCTGACACTGGCCATGCTCCTCTTCAGCTTCCCCACCCTGACTTTTCGGATTAGGTCAGTTCTGTCTTTTTTTGATTTTTATATAAATGGGATTGCGTATTCCTTTGTCTCAGGCTGCTTCTGTCCACATTACATTTCTGAGATTCGTCCATGTTGCATGTAGCAGTAGTTCGTTTATTTTTATTCTGTTTTTATCCCTTTGTAAGTCCATATCACAGTTTATTTATCTGCCTCACTGATGGCAGCCATGGAGTTCTGTAGTTTGGGCTGTCGCAGAGACGCTCTGTTTCGCACAGCAGTGCCGATTGTGTGTGGCCCCTGGGTGTTCTGCGCGTTTGTGTGCATGTCTTTTGGGTGAATAACACGGAGTAGAACTTCTGATTCATGCTGCTTGTGCAAGCTCAATTGTACTAGACAGTGCCACTGGTTTTCTTTTCTTTTTTCATTGAGTTTATCTGGGGACATTGGTTAATAAAGTGACATAAGGTCAGGTACACACTTCTGTAACACGTCATCTGTGTCTGTTGTAGAAAGTGTTCACCACCGCAGGTCAAGTCGCCGTCGCCAGCCGGTTCTCAGCGCTGTGTGAGGTTACGGAGCGGCAGCGTGTGAGAGCCGCGCTCTTCCTGTCTCCAGCAGGGCTTACCGAGCGCTGTCGGTCGTGCATTTTAGCCACAGCGGTAGCAGTGGCGTGTTCCGTTGCGTTTTTAGCCTGCAGTTTCCTGATGATTAATGAAACTGAGTACCTTCTTGTATATGTATTGGTTTTCTTTTTGTTTTGGGGGGGTTTTGGTCTTTTGGTTTTCTTTTGTTTTTTGTAATTTGCCTGTTGAAATCTCTTGCTGATTAAAAATTTTGAGTTGTCTTATTAATTTGTAAAGATTGTTTATGCATTTTTAAATTGATCCCTTTGAGGATTATATTTTTTATATATACATGTGTCTTCTCCCATTCTGTCGCTTTTCTTATCATTACCTGTATGATCTGTTTTGATCCATGGAAGTGGTAAATTTTAATGAAACTCAGTTTATGGAGTAGTGTTAGTGCTTCCTCTGTTGTAGGTCACATCTTTGCCTTCATGTTCCCCCTTTGTCTTCTGGCTGCGTTATTCTTTGCTTTTTATATTTAGATGTATTATTCGACTGGAATTGCCTTTTGTGAATTCAACAAAGTGGGGAGTAATCTGGACGAGGTGACCCCGCAGCATCTCTTTGAACAACTCTCCTTTCTCCCGCGCCCGTGCCACGCTGGCCACAGGGCGGGGGTCCCTCTGCGGGACTCGGGCCAGGCCGTCAGCTCAGCCCCTCTGCCTGTTCGTCCTCCTCGCCCCCGGTGCCTGTGGTGTTTCATAAAGACCCTTGTCTTGCGCAGCCTTGTCCTTTTGCTGGAGAAAGTCCTAGCTGTTCTTGATTCTTGGCAATTCTCTTTAGATTTTAAGATTAATTTCACAAAAGCAGACTAAAAACAACTTGCTGTGGTTTTGGCAAGGAATGGAATTTACAGATTTATTGTAACTGGAGTTATATTGTGTCTATAAATCACTTTCAAGATTGCAACTTCCAAGCTATGAACATCATATATCCCTCCCATTTCTTTAGTTTTTCTTAATTTTTTTTCAGTACCAGCTTTTAATTTTCTATGTTGAAGCCATGTGTTTCTTATTTGACTTGTTCTAAGAATTCTAATATTTTGTATTTGTATTTTTTTTCTGTATTTAGTTTTCAAATAAACTTTATTGGGGCCATTTGTTTATAGTTTAAGTGCAATAAAAGTACTCATTTTGAGTGTACCTTGTAATGAGTTTTGAACAGTTTATATATCCATGTAACCACCACTAAAATCAAGACAGAGACTGCATTCATCACGCCGGAGGGCTCCCTGGTGCTCCGTTTGTCACTTAGCCCATCTCTGCCCTGGGCAAACCCGTACTTTTTAGCACTGTAACTTGCATTGGTCTTTTCTAGGGTGCTGCATACATGGAATCATACGTACTTCTTTCGCTCAGCTTTTGAGCTTTTGAGATTTACCTGGGCCTTTCTTTTTTCACGTGAGCAGTCCATTTTCACTCCCGAGCACTCTGTCATGTTGGCATCACACAGTTCCTCAACCTGTTAGCTTGCTGGTAGGCATCTGGGCTTTTTTCCGGTCTGGGGCTGTACCAGATCATCTCTGAGGCGTGCGAGGGCAGGCCTCGTCATGGACAGGAGTGCACGGGCGCGTGACTAGGAGGCACATTTCTGGGTGAAGAGTGAGCGTCCGGGGCTTAGGATGGTTAGCCCTAAATTTTTCGACTTTACGATGGTGAGAAAGCAGTATGCATAATAAATTCCAGGACATAGTTGACACTTTATTATAGAAGAGATGATTTTGCCCAACTTCAGAGTAATGTAATTGTTCCAAGCATGTTTACAGTAGGCATCGCCAAGCTTTGATATTTGGTAGGTTAGATGTGGAAGAGTTGTTTTCTGCGTAAGCTCTTTTCAGCTGGATGTGGACGGTGCTCCACTGGAAGCCGGGAAGCGTCTGTACGTGCTTGTCTTTACAAGGGACTTCCCAGCCCGTTCCCACTGTGCTCGCATTTTACATTTCTGTAAGCAGTGTGTAAAAGTTCCTTTTTTTGCATATTGTTGTTAACACTTGGTATTGACAGTCATTTTAATTTAAGCCTTTATAATGGCTGGATAATCATAACTTTTTTGGTTTTATTTTCCATTTTCCTAATAATGATGACAAGCAGGTTTCTTGGTATGTGCTTATGGGCCATTGAAATCTTTTGCCATTTAAAAAAGTTGGGTCGTTCTTACTGAAATATAAGTTCTTTATGTATTCTGAATATATGTTCTTTGTCACATAAATGCATTGCAAATATTTTTTCCATTCTGTAGCTTATATTTGCATTTGTTAAAAGTGTTAAGAAAAGGAAGTTTCTAATTTTGAAGTCCATCATTTCAAAACTTTTTTTTAATACAACGGTTTGCACCTTTGTGCCCTAAGAAATCTTTATCTACTGTAAAGTCACGAAGATATTCTCCTATATTTTCTTCTAAAAGTTTTGTAGTTGTAGCTTTTATGACCAGGTCCATAGTCATTTTCACTTAATTTTCGTACGTATGGCAAGTTAAAAGCCCGTGCTTGTTGCTATCCACGTACACATCAGCATTTCAGTACCGTTATTCCCTTGGCATGTTCGTTTAAAACCAATTGACCACCTATGTTTGCATCTGTTTCTGGACTCCATACTGCTCTGTGATCTGTACGGCTGTCCTCAGGCCAGTACACCACAGGGATCGTTACTGTAGCTGTATAAAAAGTCTTGAAATCAGGTAGTGTAAGTCTTCTAAGTCTTCTTTTTTACAATTGCTTTGACTTTTTCAGTTTGTTTGCATTTTTAATATAAATTTTAGGGAAATAGGCCTGCCAATTCCCTCATTCCCCCCCAAAAAAAATTTTGCTGAAATTTGAGTTAGGATTATTTTGAATCTTTAATTAAATTTAGGGAGAATTGATAGCATAATAATACTGAGTTTTTCAATCTGTGAACATTGTTTATAACTCCATTCACTGAGATCTCTAAGTTTTCTCAGTAATTTTATAGTAGTTTTTCATTGTAAAGGTCTTATACTTATTTTTGTTTTTTTAATTATATTTTATGTCTTTGATGATATTCTAAATTAAATTTTTTACTGTAAACTTAGAACTTTGAATTAGAAGCCAAACAATAAAAGAGTAAATACCATATGTTTCCACTTATATAAGATTGTTGGGGTTTTTTTGTTAGTTTTTTTAAAAATATTTGGCATACTTTACAAAAAATACAACTGATCCTGGATACCCTCTTTTGGGAAAGTTTTTAACTTAAAATTTTAATGTAACAGTTACAGGTCTCCCCAGGTTTTCTGTTTTGCCTGTGTCAATTTTGGTAGGTTCTATTGGCACAAAGTAGTTCCTAATATTCTTTTTATTATTCTTTTGGTTTACTGGGATGACATTGGTTAATAAGATTATACAGGTTTCAGGTGTACATTTCTCTGATGCATGACTGTATATTGTACCCACCACCCAAAGTCAAACCATCTCTGTCTGACCCTCTCTACCCTTTCTTACCTCCTCACCCCCCTTCCCTCTGGTAACCACCATACTGGTCTCCGTGTCTATGAGTTTCTGTTTATTTTTCTTGTTTTCTCATTTGTTGCTTTGTTTTATATCCCGCATATGAGTGAAACCATATAGGTCTTAACTTTTTCCGTCTGACTTATTTCGCTTAGCACGATGTTCTCAAAGCCCGTCCATGTTGTCGCAAATGGCAGTATTTCACTTTCTTAGGGCTGAGTGGTATTCCATAGTATGTA